CCTAAAGCCCCGCCCTGGGGAGTGCTCATGCCCCGCCTTCTTACGTCCTCTAAACCCCGCCCCTCACAGGTGTCCTTGCCACGCCCCTCCTCAGCCCCCAAAGCCCCGCCCTTTATAGATATCTGAGCCTCCTCTCGCCAGCCCCCTAAGCCCCGCCCTTAGAAGTACCCTTGCCCCTCCCCTCACCACCCTCCCAAAGCCCCGCCCTTTAGAGGTACCTGAGCCCCGCCCCTCCCCAGCCCCTGAAGCCCCGCCCTTGAATTGCCTCCACTTCTCTGCAGTCCTTCTCAGCCCCGCCCTCCGCAGCCCCGCCCCGCAGCACTCCGAGCTCCACCCGTCGCAGGGCTTCCCCCCCATCAGTTCTAAGCCCGAGGCCCCGTACGTTTTCCACTCGCCGCCTCCTCCGCCCCTCCTCCCGTAGCCTCTTCCCGTGGCCTCGGCTGTCCTCCGGCGTCATTGGCTCCTTATCTCCCCAGTAACCAGACCACAACAGTGAGCTTGGAGCACTCAGGACAGGTCAGGCCCTGCAGCAGGTAGGGCCCAGACCTCGCGCCCCCCAACCCCAGCCTGCCGGGGGCTCCCCCTCCTCTGTGAGCAAACAGCCCGGCCTCGGAGATACTGAGAGCCCAGGGCACCTGTCTTCCCCGACCCCGCGACAGTTCTGACACAAGATGGAGAGGTGGGAGGTGGGGAAGGCGATGGGAAGAGACCTGAGAGATGCCCCCCTCCAGCCCCTTGGGGGAACCGAGACCTTTCAGAGAGGTCGGAGTGGTTCTAGGGTCACCCTCTTTCAACTCCCAGGCCCTCAAGTTCATCGCCCACTCCCCTCCCGGCCCTCTCCTGCCTGCTGTCCGAAGGGTCCTGTGTCCGCCCCTGCAGGAGCCCCACCCTCTTTGGCCAAGATGCCTTTGGCATATTCTGCGAGGAGCGCCCGCTCCGAGGAGGGCAGCGAGGTCTTTCTGGAGACAATGGGTAACAGATTCAGTCGTTCATTCTTGTTCGGGCCTCAGCTTTCCCAGGTTCCAGGTCCTGTGGGGCGGGGCCCTGGGACGGAGAGGCTTGCAGGAGCGCCCTCTAGTGGGGAGCCGACCTGCGCCCGAATGGAGGTGGAGCGGGGCACCCCCGAGGATGGGCCCCATAAAGGATGGGCAAGCCAGGGCAGTGGTGGGGAGGACCAGGAAGACTGCGGGCAGCAGCAGAAGCTTGAGTGGGGCCCTGGACCCCTCTTAGGAATTGCCAAGGGGAGAAGGAAGGGAAGGGCGTTTCCTCAGAACAGCACGTGGCTAGATTAGGCTTTCTTAACATCAGGCTGTTGACACTTTTGATGGGATAATTCTTTGTTGTGGGAGATGCCAGTAGCACTCGCTCTTCCCCACAAGTCGTAACAAAGATATCGCCAGACATTGCCAAATATTCGTGAGGGCCTGAATCGCTCCCTGGTTGACAGGGAGCTGGTGGGCAAGACTGGAGAGGTGGGTAGGGTCAGGTCACCTGGGGCCTTGAAAGTCTAACTGAGGCATTGGGACTCTTTGTCCTGAAGATACTGGGGCACTATGGGAGCACTGTGAGCAGGAGAGGGGGAGGAGGAGGGCCTACTCTGGGTGTGGAAAGACCCTTGGGGACTGTGAGGGGAGGCAGGAAATTGAGAAGGCTGGGGTAGGAGGAATGAGGCCTGGGCCCAGGGGACAGGCTGAAAGAGTGAGAAGACAAGAGGATGGAGCTGAGACTTGCTGACAGTGGGGGTGGAAGGGGAGGCAAGGAGAGAGAGCTTTCCCATTTTCCAGGTCCTGTGCCTCAGATCCCAGAAGACCCAGAGGCTTTAGGAAGTGCCCTCTGGCGGGCAAACGGAAGACCCAGAGGCCTTCAGGAAGTGCCTCTGGCGGGCAAATCCTGGATGGGTACGGGTTTTAGGGGAAAGAACCTGAGGTCATCTTGGGGTATGAAGGGATGAGGAAGCTTGAGCGATACAGGAACTGAGGAGTTTTGGGGGATGGGTTTGCAGTTCATTTGCAGTTTATGAGACCCTAAGGGGACCAGAATTTGTAGACCGTGGGGAGGAAGGGGTTGGAGCCCAGATCCCACTGAGTCTCGTGCCTGGCTCTGCTCTCTGTAGATTGGGAGCTGAGCAGACTGCAGCGGCAGTGCAAGGTGATGGAAGGGGAAAGGCGAACTTACAGCAAGGAAGTCCACCAGCGCATCAACAAGCAACTGTGAGCTGAGTGCCAGGGCCCCAAGCGGAGGAGAGAGTGTTAAAAGGGCATGGGACTGGGGTGGACTCCTGGGTCTTGGGGGCAAGGCCAGGGGCAGTGTGTCCTGCCCTCTGTGATGCTAAGCTTGGCCCCCTTGCTGGCCTCTCTTCTACCTTCCTGCCTGGGCAGTGAGGAGATCCGGCACTTGGAGGAGGTACGGGCCAACCTCCAGGTGCAGATCAGCATCGCCCAGAGCCAGGTCAAGCGGCTTCGGGACAATGAGCGGCTGGAGAACATGGAGCGCCTGCTGAAGTGTACGGCCCTGGCGCAGGCCGAGGTTGAGGAGCTGCAGGAGCAGACCAGAGCCTTGGACAAGCAGGTGGGTTCTGAGACTGGGTTTTGTGCCTCCTGCTTAGGGACATGTGTTGAGACCTCTCAGAGCCTTAGCATTTCATCCGAAATTGGTGCCACTGAAAGCATCCATCTGGTAGAACTGTGTTCAGTGGTAACTATGGATGTTTGTTACTTAGCACAGTCCCAGGCATTCGAAGAGGAGATGGTGTGGTTAAGCAGCAAGGGTTTGCATGCTGGAGTCAGCAAAACCTGCATTAGAATCCTGACTCTGCCATTAGAGCTCTGTGACCACGGGCAGGTTTTCACCTGTCTGAGCCCCAGTTTCTTCATCTGCAAAAAGAGGATGGTGGTAATACAGCAGAGTCTAGACAGGTTTCTCATCCCATCTGCTTTAAGACCTTGCCATCTGACCTTGCAAAACATGTGATTTTTCTAGGCCAGCATTCTTTCAAGTTTTTATGACCATGACTCACTGTGATGCAGTTCATACACACCAAGATGCATACAGATGTAAACAAATATACATATATATCAGAAGCAGAAGTTTCATCAAATGTTAGTTTTTTCTATGTGGGATTCATTCTGCTATTTTCTATTCTACCCTTCATTAAAACACCTTGCTTGTCTAGAACAAATGTTTTCGTGCACATGATTGACTCACAGACAGGAGTTTGAAAGTTACTTATCTTTGTGGTCTATATTGGTTTCTTATTGCTGCTGTAACAAATTACCTCAAACTTGATGGCAAAAAATAACATAAATTAATTATCTTAAAGTTCTGGAGGTCAAATGTCTGAAATGGGTTTCATGGCGAAAATCAGGGTGTCAGCAGGGCTGCATTACCTCTGGAGCTTCCAGTGGAGAATCTGTTTTCTTGCCTTTTCCAGCTTCTGGAGGCCACCTGCATTCCTTGGTTTGTGACTTCTTCCTCTCTCTCCTCAGCCAGCAATGGTTGGATGAGACTTTCTGGCTGCATCACGCCAACTTCTTTTGTTGTCTCGTTTCCTTCTCTGCTTCTGACTCTGCTGCCTCCCTCTTTCACTTCTAAAGACCCTTATGAGTACAGTGGGCCCACCTGGATAAACCAGGATAATATCCCCATCTCAAGATCCTTAACACATCTACTGAGTCCTTCTTACCATTGAAAGTAACAACGTTCACAGGTTCCAGGGATTAGGATGTGGATATCTTTGGGGGGCCTATTGTTCAAGTTTTATTAATTTGACTTTCAGGATGCTGAGTTTTGATTTTCACAGGTCAAACATGTGGCTGATTCATGGGAGTACAGTAGTTTAGTGAGTGGTGGCTGTTTGAATTGGCTTTCCTTAGTTTTTCATGGAAACTCACCAGAGTCAGACATAAGTAGGGTGATTTTATTGTCTTGACTCCATGGATTCTTTTGCCATAAGAAACTTGATTTTGGAGAACTGGAGTTCAGATGAGGATAGGGTATTCAGAGAGCCCTTAAAATTCCTCATGGAGTCAATAAATAATATAGTTATCTGGTGATATTTATTTATTCAGCAAATATTTATTGAGTTCCTATTTAGTTCCAGGCAGTGTTCTTAGTGTTGGAGGTACAGCAGTGAACAATACAGACAAGTGCCCTGTTCTTATGTAGTTTCTAGTCTACTGAGGGAGAAACAATTAAAATAAAAACATATAAAAGCCGAAGAAAGAATTTGTTCATAAGAAATCATCCAGAATCCAATGACACTGTTTCTAAATGCTTACTCTCATTTTCTGAACTTATCACATCAGAGACTGGTGACAGACAGCCCTTGGTCTTACACCAGTTTTATGGCACCAGTCTATGTAGACATAAAAAAGTATTTGATAAGATTTGAGGCCGGGCGCCGTGGCTCAGCCTGTAATCCCAGCACTTTGGGAGGCCAAGGTGAGAGGATTGCCTGAGCCCGGGGGTTTGAGACCAGCCTGGGCAACTTGGTGAGACCTCATCTCTACAATAAATCACAAAACACTAGCCGGGCATGGTGGCGTGAGTCTGTAGTTCCAGCTACTTGGAAGACTGAGATGGAAGGATCATCTGAGCCTAGCAGGTCGAGGCTGCGGTGGCCTATGAACATGCCACTGCACTCCAGCCTGAGCAACAGAGAGTGAGACTGCAACTCAAAAAAACCCAAAAAAAACAAAAAAAACACATTTGATAGCCATTCTTGGTAAAAACTCTAGGAAAACCCAAGAATAAAAGGGAATTTCTTGAATTGGATAAGGGACAAAGGACAACTATAAAACATTTACAGCAAACATCATATTTGATGATGAAACATAAAGAAAAATTTCTCTTTGAGATTAGTAACAACATAAGGATGTCAGCACCATTTCTATTTAACACTGTGCTGGAGGAAGAGCATATTCAATACAGTATGACAAGAAAAAGAAAAAAAAAGAAGTAAAGATTGGAGAGGAAGAAATGAAACTCTTATTGCTTGTAGATTGTATATTTGGATACATAGAAAATCCCAAAGAATGTAGCTGGGAGCAGTGGCTCATGCCTGCAATCCTAGCATTTTGGGAGGCAGAGGTGAAAGATTGTGTGAGTCCAGGAGTTCTATGCTGGCCTGGGCAACTTGGCAAGACCTTGTCACTAAAAAAAAAAAAAAAAAAAAAAAAGCTGGACTTGGGGGTGTGTGCCTATAGTTCTAGCTACTTGGGAGACTGAGTTGGAAGGATCACCTGAGCCCAGCACGGTGAATCTCTGGTAGCCATGAGTGTACCACTATACTGTAGTCTTGGTGACAGAGTGAAGCTACAACTCCAAAAAAAAAAAAAAAAAAAGGGAACATTATAAATGTAGTGATATACCACATTTATGGATTGGAAGAGTTAGTGTTGTAAACTCTCAGTTCTCTCAAACTCAATTATGGATTCAATGTGATCTTAACCTGTCTTGGCCTGTTTTCAGTTGCTTATAATGGACACCTGAAACTGGGTAATTTATGAAGAAGATACATTTATTTTTTACAAAGTCCAAGGGCATGGCTTGGGATCTGGTAAGGGGCTTCTTCCTGATGTGTACTCTACAGCAGGGGTCCCCAAGCTCTGGTGTGTGGCCTATTAGGAACCAGACTGCACAGCAGGAGGTGAGTGGGGATGAGGGAGCAAAGCCTCATCTATATTTACAGTTGCTCCATCACTCACATTACTGCCTGAGCTCTGCTTCTTGTCAGATCAGCAGTGGCATTAAATTCTCATAGGAGCATGAACCCTATTGTGAACTACACATGCGGGTTCCTAAGTTGGGTGTTCCTTGTCAGAATCTAATGCCTGATGATCTGAGGTGGAACTGAGGCAGTGATTCTAGTGTGGGGAGTGACTGCAAATACAGATTAATATTAGCAGTGAGGTTTGACTGCACAGAGACCATACTAAATCAGTTGCTTGCAGACTCATACCAAAACCCTATCAGTGAGTGGCAAGTGAGTTGATGTACCTCAATTGTACAGCTGCATCTAGTGGCAGGTTTTAAGTCAGAATCCAACACTTATTTTAGTCTGCGTATGACCTGCCCATTATTTTATTTGCCCCTTCCATATATGCCTCTTTTTTTAATGATGAGCTGTATAATTATTTCATTATATATAATATAAATAAAGTACACAATAAATGTTATGCGCTTGAATCATCCCAAAGCCACCCCTACACCCAGTCCGTGTAAAAATTGTCTTCCATGAAACTAGTTCTTGATGCCAAATAGGTTGGGGACCACTGCTCTCTAAGTCCTAGGTAGTGCAGGACATCACATGGCAAGAGGGTTGAATATGCTAACATACTTGCTCAGGTCTCTCTTCCTATAAAGTCACCAGTGCCACTCCTATGATAACCCATTAATTCATTAATCCATTCTTGAATTTGATGCTGTCACCTCTTAAAGGCCTTACCCTTCAGTCCTGCCGCATTTGGAGTTAAGTTTCCAAGACATGACAGTTTGGGAACACATTTAAACAATAGCACAACCAAAGTACTAAAAGTTTTTTTTCTTTTTTTTTTTAGTGGGTGTAATTGACAAGGAGATTCTAAGATTTATATAGAAGTACAAAGAATAAGATCACAAAGACTTACTTAAAAGAAGAATGATGTGGAAGGAATTGCTCCATCAGTTACTAAGATTATTGTAAAACTCTTGTAATTGGTGCAGGGCTCATCAAATGGATCAACAAAACAGAATAGAGTGCCCTGAAAGAGATGTGTGCGTATGCAGACACTTGATGCATAACTTCAGAAAAATGGGAAAAAGAGGGCCCCGATAGTGGTATTGTAAAAATTGAATATCCATATTATGAGATGAAATCAGACCCTTACCTCACACTACTCTAAAGTTAATTCCAGATGGATTAAATATGTAAATATATCAGGGTGGAAAAGGATATCTTTTAGAGAAGTCATAGAAATTTCTACTTCTAAAGAAAAAGGTTGAAGCTGCTATGACATTAAAGCTAATAACTTCTGTTTATGAGAAGAAACCATAAATAGTATGCAAAGTAAATTATGGAATGGAAGCAGTTATTTGCAACACATACAGCCAATAAAGGACTAGTATCAAGAATATGTAAGGAATTTCTGTATATCAATAAAGAGTCTCAGCCTAATTAAAAAATTAGTCAAAGCTGGTACCTCATAAAATAAGAAATTCAGATATCTAATAAGCATAGGAATAAGAAATTCAGATGTCTAATAAACATAGGAATTACTCATTAGTAATTAGAAAAAGGTGAATTAAAATCACAATGGGATACCATTAAACATTTATCAGATTTTCAAACATTAGTATCTGAATAAAAATACTGAATGTTGGGGAGGAAGGAGCAGTGGAAACATTTAGGAACTACTGGTGGGGGTACAAATTACATATTGTGAAAAGTTTCCCCCCCATTATTAAGTTGAAGATAGACATATCTTCTGATTCAGGGTTCTATCGTCCTGGCATGATCAAAATCAGGGGTCTTGAGTTCAGCTTGACATTCACACTCATGGGACCCAACAGGCTGTAACTTGGTACCAGATTCACTTAACTTTGTAGCAGAATAGAAGACAGAACAACAATGTCTTGGCATGACGGCCTCAAATGCATCTTCAGTGTCCAGGCGCTGCTTCTCAACCCACACAAGGAGCACCTACAGTTGCCTGATACCACAGGGTTGTTGATTCTGCCACCAATCAGGGATCATTTTGATAGTCAACATTGTTGCCTGGGAACACAGCTGGCATTCCATATTTACCTTAACCCAGTATATTTCCATGGAAACAGTGTTGGAAGAAAGTAAACCAAAGACATCTTTCTACAGAAAATGGGTTTAGGCCTGTTGTTAACCCTTTTTTCCACCTAGACATTCCACTACCAGAGTATATGCTCTGGTACAAGGCAGTACTCATTAAATGAGTGTTTATAGGAGCATCATTCATAGTAGTTAGCCCCAAAATGGGACCAGACCAATGTCTATCAATATTTGAATGAGTAAATAAATGCAGTATTTTAGTATAATGAAATATGAAACAAAAATAAATGAATTATGATTATGCACTGTGACATAGATGAATGTGAAAAACGTTTGAATGAAGGAAGCAAGGCATAAAGTTTACATGCAGTGATATCTTATTTATATAAAATTCAAAAACAGGCCCAAACTAAACCTTTGTTTAAGGTGTATATGAGCGTATACATGGGAAGTAAAACTACTAAAAAAGTAAAGAAATGCACTTCACTTAAGGAAGTGTGACAAGCAGAATAATGTCCCCTCCCCAGAGATGCCCATGTTCGACTCTGGAAGCTGTGAATATGTTATTTTACATGGCAAAAGAGACTTTGCAGATATGATTAAGGATTTTAAGATGGCAAAGTTAGGGGGCCTGTGCAGCCCAGGCCGGTGCAAGCCCTTCGGAGGGGCTGCTGGACCCCGAGTACCCCCGCATGCATGCGGCCCTGCTGAAGGTGGCGCAGGTGGTCACCCTGCTGATTGCCTTCGTCCGCATCCGGAGCTCTCTGGTGATCGACTACAGCGCCTTCAGCTACTTCGAAGTGGTCACCATTTGCAACTTGATCATGATCCTTGCCTTTTACCTGGTCCACCTTTTCGCCTTCTACGGTGTGCTCACCTGGACCAGCTGGACCCTGTCGGAGCTCCTACACTATTTAATTGGCACCCTGCTCCTGCTGGTCGCCTCTGTCATGGCAGCCTTCAAGAGCTACAACCTGAGTGAACTGGTCGCAGGAGCGGTCTTTGGTTTCATAACCACCTTCCTCTGCATGGCAAGCATATGGCTGTCCTACAAGGTCTCATGTGTGACCCAGTCCACAGACGCAGCCGTCTGATGAGGCCGCAGCCTCTGGGCCCCTCGGGAGCTCTGCAGTGACCAGTGACCCCAGGAAAGGCCTCTAGACCTGTGTGCACCCATGTTCCTGTACCAAAGGCCTGCCAGGCTGGAGGACGCTCTCCCAAGAAGGCGGTTCCCTGAGCTCCTGAGCTGGCCGGGGCCTCAGTCTCCAGTCTTCCTTGGAGAACATTCCTTCCCTTCTGGGAAAGGAAAGTGGCGGCAGGGGAAATCTGTTCTCTCTCTTCCTGCTTCTGGAACCATCTCAGGTCCTGATGAACCCGCTCAGCACAAGGGAGGATCTGTGAACACAACCCTCCTTGTAAATCCGCCTCTGCTTCACACTCCTCAGGGGGTGAAACTGCCTTAAGTCCTCATCAAAACAAAGCCACCTCCTAATTTATCCAACTCGTCCATCTGGCCTTGAAGATACCATCTTTCTTATAGTGAGGCGTGCCTGTAGCACTGTGTGATCCGCCTGACCGCACAGAGGAGGGCTCGTGTCTCCTTTCCCTGGCTCTGCCTTTGTTACTCCTTTGTGCGTGCGTGTTTTTTAAAATAAAATATTGATTTGGCCAAAAAAAAAAAAAAAGATGGCAAAGTTATCCTGGATTATCTGAGTGGGCCCAATATAATCACAAGGGACTTTATAAGAGAGGCAGAAGAGTCAGAGTCCAAGAAGTTGATGGATGTCAGAGGGAGAGCGGAAATGTAACAATAGATGTGGGAATGATGCAGTCACAAAATATTTGCAAAGCATATATCTGATAAAGAACTTACATCCAGAATATATTAAGAACTCTCAAAATCAATTTAAAAAGACCATAACAAGTTGCCTTACAGTTTTGAGCACGTGGAAGAAATGGAACTTTCATACTCTGCTGGTGAGAATGTTGAATGGTACCCTACTTTGGAAAAACAGCTTGGCTATTTCTAAAAACACAAAGTATACACTGACCATATGATTCAGACATTTCACTTCTAGGTGTTTACTCAAGAGAAAAGAAAGCCTATGTCTATACAATGAATTGCACACGAATGTTCATAACAACTTTATTTGTAAAACTGAAAATGGAAACAATCCAGATGTCCATCAATGGGTGAATGGATAAATAAATTGTGGTACGTACATGCAATGGAATACTACTTAGGAACAAAAAGCAATGGGCTTGGCTGGGTGCAGTGGCTCATTCCTATAATCCCAGCACCCTGAGAGGCAGAGGTGAGAGGATTGCCTGAGTCCAGGGGTTCGAGACCAGCCTGGACAACTTGGCGAGACTCTGTCTCTACAATAAATAAAAAATTATCCAGGTGTGGTGGCATGCATCTGTGGTTCCGCTACTTGGAAGGCTGAAGTAGAAGGATCACCTGAGCCACTCTAGCCTGGGCGACAGAGTAAGACACTGACTCAAAAAAAAAAAAAAAAAAAGCAGTGGGCTTCTGATATACACAACAACATGAATGAATCTCAAAATAATTTTTGTGAGTGAAAGAAACCAGATCCTCCCCTCCAAAGAGTACATACTATGTGATTCCATTAATATAAAAATTTAGAAAATGCAAACTCATCAATAGTGACAGCACATATTGGTGATTGCTGGAGGGAGGAGGCTACAGGAAGAGGGTGGGGAGGAAGTACAAAAGGGCACATGAAAGCTTTTGGAGTGATGGATATATTTACTCTCTTGATTTTGTGAAAACATCAGATTGTATTCTTTTAAAATGTAAGTCTTTTTTTTTTTTTGAGTTGGAGTCTTACTCTGTCACCCAGTCTGGAGTGCAGTGACTGCTCCCGGCCACTGCAGCCTCAACCTGCTGGGCTCCGGCGATCCTTCCGCCTCAGCCTTCCAAGTAGCTGGAACTATAGGCGTGCGCTACCACGCCCAGCTAATTTTTGATTTTATTGTAGAGATGAGGTCTCACCAAGTTGCCCAGGCGGGTCTCGAACCTGCGGGCTCAGGCAATCCATTCACCTCAGTCTCCCAAAGTGCTGGGATTACAGGCTGAGCCACCGAGCCCCGCTAACATGTACAGTCTTAATGTATGTCATCTATTTCTCAATAAAACTGTTTAAAAATTTCTACCTTGTACCATATAAACACATATTTTAGTTAGGCTAGTGATCTAGGTGTGAAAAGCAAAATTTTTAAAATTTAAAGGAGAGTTCCAATTTTGAGAACAGTTTCTTCAATTAAACTTTTTTCATCCTGGAACCCTTAATTACATAGTAATTTTTTTAAGCCCCCAGAGAAATCCCTAATAGTCAGAGGTGTGCAGGGAAACCAGCTCTCAGGAGGGTAAAAGTACCTTGATTTGTAGCATTTGTTGATTTTCATAACATAAATATTCCATTTTGGTTGTGGTGACCATACTCGAAGGTGACCCCAATGAGTCATGTCCTTGTATAATCCCCTCCCCTTGGGTGTGGGTGGAATCTGTGATGTGCTTCTGTCCCACAGAATATATTGTAGCCTGAGCAGAGGACCTAGACTCCTGACCCATGGAAACTGTGAGATAATAAACAGGTATTATTTTAAGCTTCTAAATTTGTGGTAACTTGTTATGCAGCAACAGAAAACTAATACAATGGTCAGTTTCAAGCTACCAGCAGTTTGACAAGTGACTCATGGAATTCCTGCAAATGAAACTTGACTCTCCTGGGTTGACCTAGGCAACTCCAGGAATGCACTGCTAACAGTTGAATTTATTAACTAGTTTGATTCAAGCAACCCAATAAATGTTGGTGTCCTGACAAGTTAGAAATCATTTGTAAAAAACAATGTACATAAATTTAAAAAAGTTTGCATTCTATTATTTTACTATAGACAGGTGGGGTACAAGTAAGGGTTAACTATACAAGTTGGCTGCATGCAGGTGAAGTCTGAGCTTCCAACCCTCATTTCCCCCTTCTAGGACCAGGTATCCTTTGTGTTGTTATGTGCCCCACCACCCTCCCTTCTTCCCCTGGTAGTGCCCAGTAACTGCCATGCCCTCCCTTGTGCTAATGAGACTAGTGCTCAGGGCCCTCCCTGCATTCCATTCTTAAAAGCCATAATTATATACCAGTTGGATGTGTGTGACCTTGGGCCTTTCGAATCTTGGATTGAAACACTGCCAAGATTTGGCAATTTTGAAAAAGATTGGACATTGACACCCTCATTACAAGTTGATTTCATTGAGCCCGCGGGTTCAAGACCTGTCTGGGCAGCGAGACCTCATCTCTACAATAAATAAAAAAATCAGCCGGGCGTGGTAGCGTGCGCCTGTAGTTCCGGCTACTTGGAAGGCTGAGGTGGAAGGATCGCCGGAGCCCAGCAGGTTGAGGCTGCAGTGGCTGGAAGTGGCCACTGCACTCCAGTCTGGGCGACAGAATGAGACTCCAACTCAAAAAACAAACAAACAAAAAAACAAGTTGATTTCATGAAATTTCATATTGTTTCCATGTTGTGCCATATTTGTATCTTTTTAATTGAAAATTTTATTGGAATTCACATGCAGTTAAAATAAATAATGCAGATGTCCCTTGAAGACTTTGCTACAATGGCAATAATTTTGAGTGTTTGATTTTTATCATAGCAACTGCTGAAAACCCAGTTTCACAAAGATGTGACATCATCGAGCTACTAGCTCATGTGGTGTCTGACCAATATTAATGTCTTCCTCAAAAATTTAAAATACCCCATGGTGAGTTTTAAGTTTGTTGCAGTATTCTGAGGTGTCTCGTGCATGTGCAAGTTTGCAACACCGTAACAATGTTCTGCAAACTGGGTGACTTATACAACAGAAAGTTATTATCTCACAGTCTTGAAGGCCTGAAGTCCAGGAGCAAGATGTTGGCAGAATTGGTTCCTTCTGAGGGATGTGGGGAAGAATCTGTTCTATGCCTGTCTCCTGGCTCCTGCTGGTTTGTTGGTGATCTTTGGTGCTCTTGGCTTGCAGATGCATCTCCTGATTTCTCTCTTTATCTTTATATGATGCTCTCCCTGTGTGCATGTCTGTGTCCAGATTTCCTTTTTTTGGGAAGGGCACCAAGAATATTGGATTAGTGCCCACACTAATGATATCATTTAACTTGATTGCTTCTGTAAAGACTATGCCTCCAAATAAGGTCACCTTGTGAAGTACTGGGAGTTAAGACTTCGACATATGAATTTTGGGGGGACACAACTCAACCTATGATAGAACAAAAATTGGGAAACAGTGCTAAACAATTCATTTATTCATTTACTCTGCATGTTTTGTTGAGTACCTACTGTGTCAGATGAAACACATAAAAATCTCTGCTCTCATGGAGCCTCCAGTTTGGTTGGGGATACAGAGCACACCTCAGAAAAGTAAAGATAAATAACAGCAATGAGAAGGACACCTTGGAAGCTGGTTGCAGGCATAAGCAGAACCAGGGATTCTAATGTCATCAGGCTCATTCTTACCATCTCTCAGACTTCAATGGCTACTTCAGTCTACCAGCCTCATTCTTCCAGAATCCTCCATGTGGTGGGGACTTTGACAGCAGAAATCCTGGAATCCATCCTGCCATCTCATGTGCTTGTCCCCAGATACCAGGAGAGGTGTCAAGCTGGCTCCACTTGGATCACATGTCCATCTCTTAGGCCAATTACTATGATTGTCCAGACTTGGGTCAAGGTGATGCTGGGTGGTGTGGGGTGGAATTTGTTCCATGAGTCCCTGGCTCATACAGAAAGGAATTTCAGAGTGAGACGCACAGGTTTAAAGTTTATTAGAGGAAACAAACAAACAAGCAAAAAACAACTTCAAGAGAGAATGTGGGTGTTCTTAAGGGAAAGGACACATCCTTTCTGTTAACAGAGTACTTCTATATATTTCCAAAATGATGGTTAAGTAACCTATTTCTATGATGAGCTTTGATCACAGGTGTTAATTCTTACCATTTTACTTTTAAGTTTTGTCTGTGTCACAAGGAACTTTGGGGATAATAGGAAAGATGATTTTTAATTATGTTTTCTCTTACAGCACTGTGCCTCAATGTCGTGAGGAACTTTTGAGATAATAGGAAAGTTGCTCCTTAATTGTGTTTTCTTTTAGAGCTGCTTCATCTTCCAAGGTTGGGCCTGAGTTTTGGTCAGTGTGTACTTTAAAAAGTTATGTCCTGATAAGACAGTACCCAGATGCCTGACCATCTGGTTTCCTAATTATCTAAGCCTGCCTGTGAGAAACTCACTATCTATATCTAAGCTATGCTAGCTGTCCTGCCTCAGTGTGACTGGTGGGTGGTTTGCTGGTGGTTGGAAGCCCCACTAGAACCACATGGAGGGTTGGCACCATCAATAGAAGGGTAGAAGAGATGCTGGGGTCACAGGGGCATCCTCCCTCGGTCATTCAGCCTCTCCCACATTCAGACATCAAATAGGTGCTATCCTCTTTCTTCTAGATCCAAGAGTGGGAGACCCGGATCTTTACGCACAGTAAGAACGTCAGGGCCCCAGGATTCATCCTGGATCAGAAGGTCAAGGACCGGCGAAGGATCAAGATCCTAGAAGACCAGTTGGGCAGGGTGAGGCTCAGCTTCTTGGTCTCTCCAGACCTGAGCTTTGGGGTTGCGGGAAGAACTGAGCAGAGGAGTTAGGTTCCAGGAATGGTGGACAGTGTGTGTGTGTGTGTGTGTGTGTGTGTGTGTGTGTGTGTGTGTGTGTGTCAGAAGACCGGATTCTGGAGGGGTGGAGGGTCCCAGGAAAGGAGAGTGATGGGCTTTGAAGGGGAGACGATGCAGTTCTTAGGACCCCCAAAGAGGAAATGGGCCGGTCCCATTTCTGATAAGCTAGGTTCCTCCTCCTCGGCTGAGTAGGCCTCAGACAAACTCTTCCATCCGCCCCACCCCCAGGTCACCTGTCACTTTGACAAGCAGCTGGTGCGGAATGCGGCACTGCGGGAGAAGCTGAATCTGCTGCAGATAGAGAGGAACCGTTATCTGAATGTGGACCGCAAGCTGAAGAAGGTTAGTGATCCTGAGACCCAGAGAGGAGAGAGGGACCCACCCAGGTGCTCCTGCCACTGTTTGCCCTTCCTGCTTCAGCACTTAGGCCTCTTGTATGGAATCGACTGGAGCCATAGGCTTGCTTTAGTCCAGAGGGCATAGAGACCTGGAAATGTTAGAGGACGCCTCTGACAAAGCAGCCTCGTTTAAATTTGTAGGAAGCAGAGATGTCATTTTGAATATTATCACCCAGGGCAATCAATGAGCAGGCAAGAACATTTAGGTTCCTTGGGAATCTTAACAACCTTTGAAGTCCTTTGAAGAACCAGCTCTTTTAACTTTTATTTGGAAAAAACTCCTATATATCTTTCACTAAGACTGATAATTGGCCTCATTTGCTTTCTCTCTCTCCCTCTCTCTCTTTCTGCGTAATTATTATTTTGCTGAAAATTATTTATTGTTATGATCGCTGGACTATTTGACAGTATGTTGTAGACATTATGCTCCTAAGTACTTCGATGTGTATGTCCTAAGAACAACACTTTTGTTGTTGTTGTTGGTTTTTTTTTGAGTTGGAGTCTCACTCTGACACCCAAGCTGGAGGGCAGTGGCACACTCCCGGCCACCACAGCCTCCACCTGCTGGGCTCCAGCGATCCTTCCGCCTCAGCCTTCCAAGTAGCTGGAACTACAGGTGCGTGCTACCACGCCCAGCTAATTTTTTGATTTATTGTAGAGATGAGGGCTTGCCAAGTTGCCCAGGTGGGTCTTGAACCCGCGGGCTCAGGCAATCCACTCACCTCGGCCTTCCAAAGCACGGGATTACAGGCTGAGCCACCGAGCACGGCTAACACTTTTTTTAAAATGTATAAACACAATACAGTTACCCAAGTCAGGAACTTTAACATTGTTAAAATTCTAAACAGTTCATATTTCAAGGATACTGGTTGCCCCTATGACGTCATTAATAGGTAGTTTGTTTTTGCAGCTTTTGGCTCTGGTTCAGGATCCCACGTTGCATTTGGTTGTTCTGGCTATGTTCATCTGGAATGGTCCCTCGGCCCCTTTGTGCCTCTCTCTGTGATGTTGACATTTTGGAAGCATCTAGGCCAGTTGTGTTGTATGATGTCCCCTGATATGGGTTTATCTGATCTTTCTTTGTGGTTAGATTTGTTTTGCACTTTTGGCAGACACAGCAGTGATAATGTATCCTTTGTGTGTATTATGTCAGGAGGCATCTAATGTCAGTTTGTCCCATAATTTGTAATATTAACTTTGATCATTTGGTTAGCCAGGTCTCTCCGATGTGAAGTTTTCTTCTTTAAAATGAATAAGTAGTCTATGGGGAGATTCTTTGAGATGACATGAATATCCTGTACCCAGACACATTTTCACTCAGTTGTTTAGCAACCATTAATGATACTTGCCTGAATAATTACTACCATAATGGCTATAAAATGGTGATTTAAAAAACCCGATCATTTCTCCCACATTTATAGGATGGGATTTTCCTAAGAAAAAGCTTCTCCTTCCCTGCATATTTGTGTATTGTCAGTGAGCATTAGTGTATTCTTACTTTATGGATTATAATCTGTAATGGTCATTGTTAATTTTGATGTTCAAATTGTCCCAAATTTGCCAGTGGCAGCCCCTTCAAGTTAGCTTTGTGGCTTTTGGACATGCACCCATCATTTTTTGGGAGTACTTCACATTCTGGCACAGGAAGAAAGTTCAGGTAATCGAGTGCTTGATCTACCCCAACCTTGGAGTCAGCCATTTCTCCAAGGAGTCCTGGCTCTTTCTAGAGATGAGCAGGTGTAGAGAAACCAAGACTTAGGCACAAAGAGCCTTCATTGCTACTGGGTATCATCGCTTTGAGGCTCTTTCTCTGGAGACGGCTAGGAAATACATATACTTGAAAATCATGGCCGGGTGCAGTAACTCAAGCCTATAATCCCAGCACTTTGGGATTATGCAATAAATCAAAAAAAGTTAGCTGGGCATGGTAGTGTGCGCCTGTAGTTCCAGCTACTTAGAAGGATGAGGTAGAAGGATCGCCTGAGCCCAGCAGGTTGAGGCTGTGGTGCCCGGAAGTGTGCCACTGCACTCCAGCCTGGACAACAGAGTGAGACTCCAACTCAAAACAAAAAAAAAAAAATCATGAGTTCATGTTGATACCTCTGATTCCATTTCAACATCACTGGCTCTTCGCTTAATGTTCTTTATTTCATCTCTCTATTTTCCTTTTCCCACAGTGGGAACCCTAGCTCCCAACAGCTCAATCTTACGATACACACAGTTTCAGAACTGCTACAGGTGTACCACTACCCCCAAAATGAATAAGTAGGATTCAGAATTTGCAGTTTGTTTTGTCCTCTGAGGGGATGATTATCTTTATATCAATTCTAATTACTGTATTTAGAGGTTATTTGGATCAGTTCCTATTTTTTTGGTTCTCTGTGTGGTTATGTTCTTCATTTGAAATACAGTTATGCTCACTTGCTTCCATTTGTATTCAGTTTTAGTTTTCTCTCCTGCTTTGTTGATTTAATTTCCTTATGAACATATAAGACGTTAACAAGGCTCCTAAATCAAAACTATTCTGAAGATATTCTATACAAACAGCATTTCTTCCTCTTATTCACCTGTGTCTTCAGTTTCTGGTTATCCACTTTGGGTTTCTTTGTGCAAAAGTAAATGTGTGTGTGTGTGTATAATTCCTCCCCTTTCTTTCTCCTGAAAGAACCCCCTTTACCCATAACACTGCAAAGACATTTCTGTGGAACTAGAAAACAAAATAGTATGGTCACAGTGACAAAATTTGTGCAAATTTCTGCACTGGTCAAGAAAGTTAGGTCAATACTTTTAGGTATGTTTCAAGTTAGGTGTTTCCCCTGGATGAGCCTTCTCAGTCACATTTCCAGCTTATCAATTTGACTGTTCTCTTACTCCATTGCTTCTTTAAGATCCCTTTCATGGGCAGCTGCTAATGAGGAGGGTCCACATTGGGAAGGCTTGGGAATTTCACTCCTTATTGGGGGGAAATGCGAGGACCAATTTTGTCCACCCCCACCCCCACAGGAGATCCACCACCTGCAGCAGATGGTCAGTGCTCTCATCGTCTCCTCCACTTCTGCCTATGCTGCCAGGTAGGGCATTCCAGGACAACACAGGGTGGTGGGGCCCAGATGATTGAGGATGCACTTTTCCATAAGGCAGTGGTGGTGGGAAGGTTCAGGACTGAAGAAATAAATGTCATGACTTCCCCCTCCTCCCATAATGTGTCCCTTTCTCTCCCCCACCAGTTTCCTAGCTCTGCAGGCCAGATCCTGTTCTTTGGGCATGTGAATTAACCTCTATTGACTCCATCTGTAAATAGCCTCTAGGACTTAAGAATGCAGAGAGAATCAAGGAAGAAGATGTACACATAGTGAACGAAGCAGGGGGCTCGGAACCTGGAAGCATCTGTCAAAAAAGAATAATTAGATTATTATTTATTAGTATTGGTTGAAAGGGATAGAGATCCTCAGGCCACCTTCAGATAAGGAGACGTGAGGAATCAGGATGCCAAAGCCCTCTAGCATCCGCTTTTCTGTTTGTCTCTAGGGCTCTCATGGGCTCCACACTTGTGCTTTTCCATCTCTGCCTCTTTCTCAGCTTCAGCCCTGTTCTCCTCTTGCTCCAATAATTTTTAAAAATTATTTCTTAGGTTGGAGTCTCACTCTGTCACTCAGGCTGGAGTGTAGTGGCACGCTCATGGCCACTGCAGCCTCGACCTGCTGGGCTCAGGTGATCCTTCCACCTCAGCTTCCAACTAGCTGGAACCACAGGCATGTGCCACCATGCCCGACTAATTTTTCTTGATTTATTGTAGAGACAAAGTCTCACCAAGTTGCCCAGGCTGGTGTCGAACCCCTGGGCTCAGGCAATCCTCTCGGCTAGACTTCCCAAAGTGTTGGGATTACAAGTGTGAGCCATACCTGGCTCTTGTGCCTTCTTTTTACACATCCTTCTGGTTTCAGCTTCCTGCTGTCTCCTTCCTAGCATCTTCCAATTCAGATTCTGAGAGAAGGAATCTGATGGGCCCGGCTCATCTTTTCTGCTGAGTCCCACAAGTGGCAGCCTGCTGGCCGGACTGTGCATCATCATGAACTACCCTCCGCCAACACTCCTCCAGCTAACCGCAATGGGCATCCTAGCTGGGTGCAAGGACAGGGTAGTTTCAGCTAGAAGCGGGGGACAGGCACCATGGGCTGGTGCTATGTCTTCAGTTTCTGGAGGAGTCACTAGGGTCTGGGGCCAGTGGTTTTCAGGGAAGGCTTCCTATCAGGGAGGACTGGCCTAAGTTAGCCTGAAAGGAATTTGATTAGAGCAGGAAGATGAAGCTTTGGGTAGAGGCAACTGAGGCTGGCAAAGATGAGGTGGGAGCTAGAACTGTCCATGGGTAGGGATCCTGGCCTGCTGTATCTCCCAACCCAATGACTCTGCGATCTGTGTGTTTAAAAACTTAAAAGCAATATTTTAAGCTGGGTGTGCTGGGGATGTTCAGTGTCAGAGGTTTTTAGGGTGTCCCCAGTATTCTAATAGAATGTATGCTCAGGTGATGGTAATGTCACTTACCTGTCTTCTCCAGCATGATTATGTTATACCTGGTTTGCCTTTTGGAGTCTAGGTATAATCTCTAGCTATGCAATCATCACCATTTTGCCTCCTGGTCCACGGGCCACATAATAATGCCCAGCCTCCCAGATGCTGGTGTGCCACAAAGCAATGGCCCGTCTGTGGTCAAGACTATCAGTACCCTATAACCTAGCTCCCAGGACCTGACTGACCCCCAAGACCCATCCTGACCCAGCTCTGGGAACCCAGAGAGTTCTCTGTCACAGGGTAACCGCAACCCGATTCTGCCTCATTACTCTGACCCGGGGCTGGTGCTGCCCATCCAGGACCGCAGCTGACTCTGCCCACAACCTCAGGGTGACCCCTCACATCCCTGTGACCCCAGACTGACCCCAACCCAGTCTCTAATCGTCCGACCCCGGGCTGATCTTCTCCCAGGGAGGAGGCGAAGGCCAAGATGGGCATCCTGCGGGATCGCGCGGAGAAGGAGGAGGCGCAGAACGATACGGAGGCGCAGACCCTGCAGCGGCAGATCTCGCACCTGGAGCAGCTGCACTGTTTCCTCAAGCTCAAGAACGACGATCGGCAGCCGGATCCTGCCGTCATGAAGAAGCGCGAACAGAGGGGTGAGGCAGGGGCTGCTGCCTTTGCGTCCCACGCGCCAGGAACCCAGCCCTAGGGCACTGCAGAGGCTTCTCGCCACCGGCCACAGGGCAGGCGGGCCTGAAACGGTGGAGCTGGGCCCGGCCGCGCCTTGCGGTCTGCACAAGAGGTCGACCTCTCTGCTCCCTCTTCCCCAGCCCGGGAGGTGACCCAAGGCCTCCGGAAGACCTCACAGGAGAAGCTGGTGCTGCGCTACGAAGACGCCCTGAACAAACTGTCCCAGTTGACTGGGGAAAGCGACCCCGACATGTTGGTGCAGAAGTACCTGGAGAGTGAGTGGACTGGGCGGGGCCCCAGCTCTCCCGAGTCCAGTGCAGGCTCGGCTTGGCCCTGGGGACTCCTCCACTGCACCCGTGCCCCCTCCTTCTTACTGTGGCCCTGTCTCTGCCCCTCCCCATCACTGTGACTTGGTGTCCTGCTCCTCATCTGTCTTCCGCCTGTCTCAGTCTCACCCCTCCCTCCGGATCTGCAACTCTCTGCCCTCCTGCTTCTTTCTTGCTGCGTGTCTCTCTCTCCTAATCTCCCTTCCTTCTGGGTACTCTCCACATTTTTCTCTCAACCCAGTTCCCTCTCTGTTTCTCTCTTTTCTCACGTCTGTCATTTTTGCGATGTCTTTCTCTCTCCATTTCTTTGGATAGTTCTGTGTCTCTCTGTGGCTTTCTGTCCTCTATCTTTCTCTCACTGTGACTTGCTCTGTGTTTCTCTGTGTCTACATCTCAGTCTCTGTGCCGCCTTCTCTCTGTTTGTCTCTATACATGCCTTGGCTTCTGTCTTTCTCAGCATCTCTTTCTCTGACCTTCTATGTGTCTCTCTGCCTCTGATTTTCTCTGTGTTTCTGTCTTCCCTCTCTGGACCCTACCCTTCCTTACTCTCCCCCAGTTGAGGAGCGCAACTTTGCTGAGTTCAACTTCATCAACGAGCAGAACTCCCAGGTAGAGCATCTGCAGGAGGAGATCAAGGAGGTAAGCTAGGCCTGCCCCTCCCCATCTCCTCCTCTACTCTGTGCCCTCTGCACCTCCTTTCCCTCAGCCGGTTCCAAACCCCACTGCCTGCCACGCTGTGAGCTGGCCCAGTGTTCAGTCCCTGTCCCCGCAGTTGCAGGAGGCTTTGATGACAGCGCATGCAAGTGAGGTCAGCAGGAATTCGTTGCAGGAGCAGCAGCGTGAGGCATTGCAGCAGCACTTGGACAAGGTGCACTCGGAGGGCAAGCACCTTGAGGCCCACTTCCAGGACTTGCAGGGGCAGCTGGAGAAGCTCAAGGCTGGTGAGCACCCTTGGAGGCTCCCCTCCCCAGCTCCTACTTCTTCATTTGGAAGGATGCTATGAGCCCGCGGAGGTCCCGATCCCCACCTGGCTGCTTGGTGGCATTGTTTGGACGACCTTGTGCTTTTGCTTATCCATCATCCCATATCCATCCAGGGCATGTCCATCCATTCATCTGTCCCACCTGTCCCTCCAGCTGTCCCTTATTCATCCATCCATCCATCCAGTATTCATCCATTCATCATCCATCCATCTATCCCTCTGTCTATAAATGTCTAGGAGTGGAACTGCTGGGTCATAGGTTAGATATATATGGATTTTTATTAGAAAACGACAGAGGCTGAGTGCAGTGACTCATGCCTGTAATCCCAGTACTTTTGGAGACTGAGGTGGGAGGATGGCTTGAGGCCAGGTGTGTAAGACCAACCTAGGCAACACAGCAGGACCTCGTCTCTTTAAAAAAAAAATTGGAGCTGGGCTTGGTGGCTCAGTCTGTAATCCTGCGCTTTGGGAGGCTGAGATGAGTGGGTTGCCTGAGTCCACGGGTTTGAGACCCGCCTGGGCAACTTGTCGAGACCTCATCTCTACAATAAATCAAAATTAGCCGGGTGTGGTAGCGCGCGCCTGTAGTTCCAGCTACTTGGAAGGCTGAGGCGGAAGGATCGCTGGAGCCCAGCAGGTCGTGGCTGCGGTGGGCGGGAGCGGCCACTGCACTCCAGTCTGGGCGACAGAGTGAGACTCCAACTCAAAAAAAAAATTAGCCTTGCATTGTGACCCATGCCTGTAGTTCTAGCTACTCAGGAAATGGAGGCAGGCAGGAAGATTCCTTTAACTCAGGAGTTGGAAGTTATAGTGAGCTGTGATTACACTGCTGTACTCCAGCCTGGGCGACAGAGCAAGACTCTGTCTTTGAAAAAAGAAAGGAAAAGAGAATGCCAAACAGTTTTCCAAACTATTTGCAAGATTTTATGCCCCCTCCATGTGTGCACACGAGTTTCCAGATGCTCCACGCCCTCAGCAGCACTTCATGCTGTCAGCTACTTTCACCGTAGCCACTTTCACGTGTGCGGTGCTTTTGCATTTCCCTGATGACCACTAATATTGAGTACCTTACTGGCCATTTGGATATATTTGTGAAGTTCCTGTTAATCTTGTGTACTTTAAAAAAGTTGGGTTTGTCTTATTATAATTGAGTTGTGAGAGTTCTTTGTATATTCTGGATACTAGTCTTTAGGCAAATACTTTCTCCCATACTGTAGCTTGACTTTTCACTTTTTTGGTGATGAACTGAAATTTTTTTGGTTTGGATGAGATCTAATTTGTCAAAATTTCTTCTTGTAGTTAGTGACTTTGTGGCCCACCTAAGAAAGTTTTGCTTACTCTGAGGTTACGTAGGCATTCTCCTGTGTTTTTTACTAGAAACTTTATTGTTTTAGCTCCCGCATTGAGGTCTGTGGCCTATGTCCAATTAGTTTATATGTGTGGTGTGAGGTAGGGGCCTGGAGTTTCTTTTTATATCTTCCTGTGGATATCCAGTTGCCTCCATCTGTCCACCCTTCCATCTTCTTATTACTGGGCAAGTAGCTGCACAGAGCACTCAGGAGTCAGGCTGTCCTGACTCTACCATTTGTGAACCTTAGTGTGTGGTTTCTTCTTTCTAAGCCCTCTGGGAATGGGGATGGCAGGGCCTACTTCTAGGTTGTCATGAGAATTGGATGGGATGATGGATGGACACCAAAGAATGAAGAGGGACAGAAATGGGGAGAGAAACGCCTTGGGGCATGCAGTTAGAGCTCAGGTGGTGGCAGATCCTTCCCTCTGTCATGATGACTGGGTCAAGACCTGTACTAGGTGACGAGGGCCTAGGAGGGGACAAATATGGGCTCTGGGCACTCATAACTCAGAGACTGGATGAGAGCGGTAGGTGAGAGGAGGCCCTACCTCAGTCTGGGGTGCAAGACTATACTTTGCAGGGCCCAGTGCAGAATGCAGAGCCCCTTTTTAAAAATTGTCAAGACTTTTAAGATAGCAGCAGCAGCGTGTCAAGCCAAGTGCAGGGCCTCATGCCACTGCCTGGGTGTACTACTGGGATGACTGAGAAGGCTTCCTTGAGGCAGTGATGCTTGAGGCTGACTTTGAAGGACAAGCCAGAGAGAGGGATGCTCCCAGCAAGTGGGGCCAAGACCTGAAGGCCAAAAACAAAAACAAGGTGTGTACAGCGAACATCAGTTCTTTGTGTAGAGAGGGGAAGGCCAAGGCTGCTATGGGGAGGCAGCTGCAGAGGGCTTGATTCCGAAGGGATGCCAGGCTGAGGCACTGGAACTTTTTCCTGGAGGTTCTGGAGTCATGGAAGCTGTGAGTAGGGCTGTGAGCAGGATGGGTGGTGACTGGTGGGGTTGGAGTGATGAGGACGAAGAGGGAAGGGCAGAGCACAGAGTTATTGACTGATGCACTGTGAGAGGTGAGCAGGAGGGATGAAGTGTGCAGGGGTCTGGCCTGGTGAGGGTGGGCTCCCCTCCTGAGATGGGGAACCTGGAAGAAGGAGTGGGCTTGTGGGATCACCCTGAGCTCATTGTGAGTGGTCCAGGGGTCTCTTCAGGGAGGAAACCTAGGAGGAAACAGATATAAATGTGGAGCTCAGGACAAAAGTCATGGTAACAGACAGTTAACCTTGTTGCCATTGTTGGTTCTGAATCATAAACATGATGGACAGCTGCACTCTCATTGTTAAAAAGCAGTTGCTTAACAGCGGCATCTGTGTCATTCCATGTGCGTCTATATACAGCTTTCTCTTCTTAACATAAATGCACAATATACTCTATTGGTTTACAGCTCATCTTTTATGTAAGAGCACATCTCTAGGAGCATTTTCCTTGGTAGCACATGTAGGACTACCCCACTCTTCACCTGCTGCAAAGTATTTCATGTAATAGATCAACCATAGTCAATCAATATTCCCCCATCGTTGGACATTTATGTTTCCAGTTCTTAACTACTGCCTCAACCTTAGAGAGGCCATGAAAACCCTTGCTGGTGCCCTGCTGTTCTCCATTTGTCCCCAGATGTCTACCATACTTTAAGTACTCAGTAGTTCTTTCTTGGACACTGCAGATATGGAATCTTTCCATCAACACTGAAAGTTCTATTGGATAGTATGCTATAGGCTTGGTTCTAGTCAGGGGGCAAGTGTATTATCATTGTCATAACGAAAACATTGCAGAGAAGGCACTCTACTTATCTTTTGAGAGACAGGGTCTTACTTTGTTGCCTCAAGTGAAACCTCCCACCGTGGCCTCCCAAAGTGCTGAGGTTACACCACTGTGCCCGAGTCACTGTTGACTACTTTACGTTTCCTATTGCTGCTTAACAAATTGGCACAAACTTAGTGGCTTAAAACAACATGAATTCATTTTACACTGCTCTGTAGGTTCCAAATGTGAAGTGGATCTCACTCAGCTAAAGTCAAGGGGTCAGCAGGACTGTGCTCCTTCTGGAAACTCCAGGGAAGAATCTGCTTCCTGGGCCTTTCCAGCTTCCAGAAGCTGCCTTGGCTCATGGCCCCTTCCTCTCTCTTCAAAGCTAGTAACGGCAGGTGGAATCACATCCCTCCAGGCTCTGCTTCCCTCATCTTGTCTTCCCTGACTCCTCTTCTGCCTCCCCCTTTCACTTTCTTTCTTTTTGAGTTGGAGTCTCACTCTGTCACCTAGGCTGGAGTGCTGTGGCACACTCATGGCCACCACAGCCTCGATTTGCTGGGCTCAGGTGATCCTTCCACCTCAGCCTTCCAAGTAGCTGGAACCACAGGCATGATTTTTTGTTTTATTGTAGAGACAAGTTCTCACCATGTTGCTCAGGTTGGTCTCGAACCCCTGTGCTCAGGTAATCCTCTAGCTTCTGCCTCTAGCTTCTGGGATTACAGGTGCGAGCCACCACACCTGGCTTTCTCCCTTCCACTTTCAAAGACCCCTGTGATGACCCAGGATAGTCTCTTAAAGTCAGCTGATTAACAACCCTAATTCCACTTTGCTAGGTAACCTAACATATTTACAGGTTCTGAGGATTAGGATTACAGGTTAGGGCCTTTTGTGAGTCAAGACTCTAGTCTTTGCTAGTTTTCTTCCAGATAATTCTTAGATATAATTCTTTTGCGGGGATGCATTCTGTTACCACAACCATTTCCAATCCTAGTCTTCTTCCCAGAGGAAATCCTCTGGGATTTCCCAGAGGATATCCCTTTATTAGTTTGCTGGCTTGATCTTTGTATAGACTGTGCTCCGAATTTACAAACACATATATATTCATAGACAATTTATAAGTCTTTTATTTTTTTCCACAAACGGCGTGGCCCTTCATTTATTACTATGCTGTTTGCTTTTTTCATTCGGTGGTATTTTGGTGCTATTCCAGTAATAAAAATATTTTAATATATAGTAAATAATAATATAGTAATAAAAATATAGTAACATGTGTAGTGCTATTTCATTCCTGATTCTGATGTATTATATTCCTTAATATTTATATGTGTAATAGTTTGCGGCTGCCTTATCAAAGCACCACACACTGGACGATTTAAACAACAGAAATTATTGTCTAATGGTCTGGAGGCTAGAAGTTTAAAATCAAGGCATCAGCAGGACTGGCTCCTCCTGAAGCCTGGGAGGGTGGGTCTTTTCCAGGCCTCTTCCCTTGGCTTGTCGACAGCCATCTTGTTTCCGACTCTTCACACTGCCTTCTCTCTCTGCAGGTCTGCGTCCACATTTCCCCTTTTATTTTATAAGGACACTAGTCATATTGGGTTGGGGTACACAATGCTCCAATATGACCTCATCTTATCTTAACTGAATACATTTGCAAGGACCTTATTTCCAAATAAGGTCAAATTCTGAGGTACTGGAGATTAGGACTTGAACACAAATTTTTTGGAGACACAATTCAACCCATAACAGTATGACTGTACTGGTAATCCATTTCTATATTGATGGACATTTAGGTCATTTCCAGTTATTTGGTGTTATCAGCAATGATACTGAGACCCCTTTCATGAAGTTAAGCACAACTAAAATATGGAAGTGATAGGTATGTTTAAGGAATACATAGAAATGCAATGAAACTTTATAAAAAGGCAGGTGGGGGCCTGATAGACCCAGGCTTCAGGGTGTGCTTGTGTGGGGGAGGCACTGGGACAGGTGGGTAAGGCTGAATGTAGGCAGGCTTTTGTCAAGGTCATGGGTGCCTTCTGACTTCATTAACAATAACCAGGCAGCTAAGTGCAAGCAGGCCACATGTGGCCAGTGTGAGCGGGTCATGACGGTGACCAGTGGGTCAACCAAGGACAACGGTTAATTGCATCATGTGCACCTGGGGTCCAACATTAGAAAAAGACAGAAAACAGCCTTGATGCTGCTGTGATCCCTGCTCCCCATGTTGCACATGTGTGCGTGTTCCCCTGGGAGGGATCCTGAGCTGCAGAATCGCTGGGTCGATGAAAGTTTCTAGCTGAGGTGTATGAAGAAGCCTTTCCCCATGGTGGTACCTTTGTCAGGTTTGCCTTTGTCTCCCCGATGTTTGTTTTCCTGCCCCGTGGCAAGGCATGCAGCAGTGCCCTCCCACTGCCTGGCTGGCTGAATTGGGCAAGCCCCTTTGGGTCTTTGAGCTTTGGCCGTGTTCTCCATAGAACGGGGCAGTGGGGACCTGAGTGAGCAGAGGGCTGGCACCCAGCAGGCGGCACCAGATCCCTGACATCCAGTCCCTCTCTGACCCCAGATATCCAGCTCCTCTTCACCAAGGCCCATTGTGACAGCAGCATCATTGACGACCTCCTCGGGGTCAAGACCAATATGCGAGACCGGGACATAGGCCTCTTCTTGGGCATCATCGAGAAGCGGCTGGTGGAGCTCCTGACAGTGCAGGCCTTCCTGGATACCCAGGTGGGGAGATGGTCAGGAGCTGGGGCCCGGGAGGCCAGGACCCAGGGCGTGGGTCTGAGCTGACCGCTGGCTCCACCACTCTCCAGAGCTACTCCTCCTTGGCTGATGCTGCTCTCCTGTTGCTGGGCCAGGGGCTTGAGGACCTTCCAAAGAAGATGGCCCCCCCCCAGCCCCCTGACAATCTGTGAGGCACAGGGCGAGAGGGAGGAAGAGGGTAGGGGGGACACATGGAATGGAGGGTTTCGGGAGACTTTGGGGACCAGATGGTGGGCATGGTTCTGGGGGGTGGTGGAAGATGAAGTGGGTCTTCCCAGGGAGTCAGAAGGAGTAGAGGCTCCTGGAGCCTGTGGGTGCTTTAGAAGGGGAGAGGCTCTCCGGGCCGGCCAGGGGATGGCTGCACATCTCTGGGTGGAGCAGAAAGGGGCTGCTGGCCTTCTGTGGGCCTGGAGTCAGGTCTTTTCCGGTGTGCCTCTTTCCCCTAGAGAGGACCCCCTGGGTTTTGAGGCCAGAGACGACTATCCGATGAGCAAGGAGGAGCTGCTGAGCCTAGTGGTGAAGGCGGTGAGAGCGGGAGCCCAGGGGTGGGGCGAGGGCCTCTGCGCCCCGCCCAGAACCTGACCCCCTGCTCCCCGCAGGTGGAACTCCAGGAGCAGGCTCAGGAGCAGGCTCAGGAGCAGCAGCAGAGGGAGCTGGCTGAGGCCGTGAAGAAGCTGGACAACAGCTCGAGCATGGCCTTCTCCAGCACCCACAGGATCAGCACCGCCCTGGGAGCCGCTGGGAGACCCAGTATTATTTCCGGGTCTATCGTGAGCCAAAGGACTACCAAAGACCGTGGTGCCAGCTCTGCTGGCCACGTCACTTTTGGTGACCCCAGCTCCAACGCGGGCCAAATGACCTTCAGCTCTGCCAGTGACAGTGGGGCGCCAGCATCAAGCCGTGCCTCAAGTGGGGGTCATGTGACCTTCAGGCCTGTCAGCTCCAGCAGCCACCTGGGGTCTACTGGGTATTTGGAGTCCAGCAGAGGCCAGGTAGCCTCTGGAGGTGGCACAGAGAGCAGAGGCACAGGGTCAGAGTCGAGTGGAGGCCTCGGGTCCAGACAAGGCCGAGTCTTGAGCGCTGGCCCTGCCTCCAGCACTGGCCCGGGCTCCTCCACCAGTAGAGACTCCCGGTGCTACTACTAGGGTGCCCAGCCCCCTCCCTGCCCTGGCTCTCTGCAGGGGCTTTTTAGTGTCTCTGCCTCTGTTTGCCTTGTGGCTTTCTGTCGTCTCCCAGCTAGAGGTCTCTGTGTCTCTTTGTCCCTCCATCTGTTGCCATCTGCCCTTCCTCATCTCCGTGTCTGCCTCCTGGTGCCTTTCTCTCTGTTTCTGACCCTCTGGTCCCCTCTGCCTCCTACCCCCCTTGCTCTTGGCTTCCTGCTCAGCATCTGCTTCCTGTCTCTGTCTCCCTAGCCCCAAGCCCTATGAACCTCCCACCTCCTGACTCCGGCTCCCTGTCCCCAGCTCCACCTCCCAGGCTCCCCTTGTATCTCGTGCCCTGTCTCCAGGGCTCCTCATTCCTCACCCTCCCCAAGATCCCCCCAGTACTGACCAGTGTGGGGAAAAATCAGGGCAAAGATGCCAGGTTCAGCGTGAGCCGTGCCCGTAGGAAATAAAGGTCAGAGCCTGACTTTTACCCTTGTCTGGTTACAAGTGTACGTGTGAGAGCAAGCTCAAGACATGGCTGCTTCCTCTACCTCCAGCACAGGGGGAAGATATATAACCCTGCCCTATCCCTCTTCCCTGCCATTTGTTCATTCATTCAGCTTTCATTCATCTTTTTGAGACCTCCACATTTCTGGCTTGACCAGGAGCTGAGAACTGTCAATCAAGACAGGCTGGGCTATGCTGCAGTTAACAAAGCACTCCAGAGCTTCAGTAGCTCTATGCAGACAAGATTTCTCTCCTTGTGGTCAGTCAGGAGCTCTGTTCCATGTCACCCTTGAAAGAGAGAAAAAGGCACTATAAGCAGTGGCCCTTAAAACTTTTTCCTGGGTATGACATGTCACCTCCAGCCACATGCAGCAGCCAAAGCAGGTCACTTGGCCATGCCTGACTTCAAAGGGGGGATGGGGAAGTGCTGTCTTCCTGTGTGTCTGGAAGGAGAGAAAGGAAGGACTGTTTGGGACAGCCCCAGTGCCTGCTGTGGTGTCACAGAGACAAAGTTGACCTGGATCTTTTTCTGCTGTGGGGGTGGGTCTAGGGGTGAGAGGAATTAGAACACCATGGATAAATCCTGTAGTTGAGTCATGCCAAAATTTAACCCATTTGGTACCAAAGTTATAAAAAAACACACCTAAAAATGTTTAACCCCATCAAATCCAAACATAAGCCATCACCTTTCCTAATCCAGGAAGGAGGTACCCTGAGCCTCATTCCCCTTAAAATGAGTTGAAAACGGTACACACTTCAAAGTTTTTTTGTGAGAATAAAATGGGCTGATACACGTGAAGACTTAGAACAGCACCTAGCATGTAGTACATGCTCACAAATAGCTGTGATTATGAGTGGGACAATGATGAAGACGACAATGACCCATGATCTGGCGGGGTCGACCTGCTGGTCTGGTGGCTCTTTAGGAAGAAGGATCCTGCCTTGTGGTGCTGGCCAGTTTCGGGGGTGCAAATGCTCTCTCTTCCCATGGCTGATTTCCATGCACCAGTGTGAACCGAATGTGGATTCACAAGGGATGGGTGAGTCCTGAGAGCTAGGATGAGCTGCCTTGCATTCCCCCGGCCTGCCCTCCCCTGCGCACTGGCCCCCGCCACTCTCACAGAGGACTCTCCCAGCAGGCTGAAACGCAACTGCCTTATACTTTTACAAACATTTAAACTTTTATAAATGGAAGTCGCCTTACATTTTTAACAGCAAAAAGACTCCATTTCTGATGTGCAAAGCTAATGTCTCAACACTGCTAAACCTTCAGCAAGAAAAAGAATAAGAGCAGCAATCTTGACTTAAATTAAGGACGGAGCTGTGAGTGCCCGATGGAGAGTCTCAAGACAAACCAGGATGCTCTCTTGTTGACACCACGGACTCCAGATTGACTGGACGTATTTTACCTCTGGGGCCCAAATCAGCTAGGCACCTGTTAACTGTGATCACAGTTTTCTAGAATTTTCTCTCAAGTGGGATGTTATCACCTCTGACCACTAGGAAGCCAACCAGGTCCCTCTTACATGGATGGTATTTTTTTTTTTAATCTCAAGATGGATATTAGAATATATTTATGCAAGAAAACCCTTTTTTTCTGTCACAGAAGTTTTGAGGAATTTTTGCTGCAAAGGTTTGTGTTGGATCTGGGTGCTGAGCTGGAAAAGATGTGATATCACTTTTCAATTAAAAAAATTTTTTTTTTGAGTTGGTAAAAAAAAACGAGGTCTCATTTTGTTGCCCAGGCTGGGTTTCACTTTCTAAAATGAAGGCTCTAAGTGCCCTCAATGTGAGCTGAGAGCTGAGTAATGTTGGGATGCACCAGTGTTTGGCTTTGGCTTCATTGTTTTTTTAAAAAATGCAAATCTATGTTGGCTTTGCCTCTGGAAGAATGAGTTAGCAAATGCATATGTTAGTGCGATGTCCTTGAACTGTTTCAATCAAAAAATTATTGTCATATACACACAATGTGACAATTACATGGGCAATATATTTTAGTTGAACCCAGTGTTCACTTGTGTATGCACTTATTAATTATTTATTTTAAGACGGAGTCTGGCTCTGTCACCCAGACTGGAATACAGTGGCACACAACCATTTCTTACTGGAGCCTCGACCTCCTGGGCTCAGGCAATCTTCCCTCCTCTGTAGCTGGGACTATAGGCATGCACTACCATGTCTGCCTAATTTTTTTGAATTTTTGTAGAAGCGAGGTTTCATTCTGTTGCCCAGGTTGGTCTCAGATTCCGGGGCTCAAGTGATTCTCCTGCCTCGGCCTCCCAAAGCGTTGGGATTTGCAGGTGCATTTTCAAATATAGGTGATTTGCAATGACAAACCATGTGTTCTTTACATGTTGAAATTCTGTCAGCCAACTGAAGTATAAATATATGTTTTCATTACAAGAGTGCAGTTATTTTTTTGTTATAAAGGTGATTAATTTTAGGTACAAAACAGTTATGAATAAATTTCTATAGAAGGGAGAGTATCTGCTAGATAATTTTGGGAGGAATGTCACTTCCTTTGGAATCAACACATGTTTATAAAGATTTAAATGAGAACGTGAGATATAATAACAAATTAGGCCATATACTAATTCTACTTTTTGTAATATATATATGTGTGTGTGTGTGTGTGTGTGTATTATTTTTTAAAAATCAGGGTCTCACTCTGTGGACCAGGCTGGAGTGCAGTGGCATGATCACAGCTCACCGCAGCCTCCAACTCCTGGGCTGAAGTGATTCTCCTGTGTCAGCCTCCTGCTTAGCTGGGACTACAGGCATGTGTCACCATGCCCGGCTAATTTTTTTATTGTTTTGTAGAGATGAGGTCTCGCTATGTTGCCCAGGCTGGTCTTGAACTCCTGAGCTCAAGTGATTCTCCCACTTGGGCCTCCCAAAGTGTTGGGATTACAGGTGTGAGCCATCACACCCAGCCTTAATTTTTGTCGAATATTTTAATTCTGTTTTGGATTTCTTTACATCTGATGGGGAAAGATTGAAAGCAGCATGTTAAACTTGCCATCTTGGTATTTCACAAGAAGGAAAAAAAAATTCTATATTGCCCACATCTTTAACTAATTAACTTTAATTAAGACATAAATTATATAATGAGCAGGACGACAGGAAGAAAGTATTCAAGAAAAATAAGGGACCCCAAACAGATCTTGTTTTACGAATCCAACTTCAACACACAAAATGCTTTAAGAAGATTTCCAGTGGAATTAATCCTTGCCTGCAGGGATCGTCATCTTCCTCTCTGGGCCATCGGGGAAGTTCAGCCGCCCGTGTGGTCCAGGCACCCTTTGCTAATTTAACTCAAGCAGGACTCCCTAGTTTTTTGTGCACAATAATTAATCCATCAAAGTTAAGGGCTTTCATTTCCCATTATGCATATGAGGAGAAGAGGAAATGGCTGCCAGTCTTCTATCTTGATGGTAAATCTTACCTGGATTTCTACAGTCTAGATGTTGAATGTCATCAGTAGGGCAGCACGTGATGGAGAAAGACAGCCCCTCGGCGCCAAACGATCTGGGGAGGGAAGAATCACAGGGCATCCCCAGTTTCTATGGTTTCTTGACACATCATTTCTTCCTCTTTTTTTTTTTTTTTTTTTTTTTTGAGTTGAGCCTTCACTCTGTCACTCAGGCTGGAGTGCAGTGTCACGATCACAACTCACTGCAGCCTTGACCTCCTGGGCTCAAGCGATCCTCCCATCTCAACTTCCCAAGTAGTCAGGACTACAGCTATTGGTGACCGGTGGATAAACGGCAAGGCTTGTGTTATGGAGTTTGAAATTGATGGGCCAGGCGCTCAAGCCTATAATCCCAGCACTTTGGGAGGCTGAGGTGAGAGGATTGCCTGAGCCCGGGAGTTTGAGACCAGCCTGAGTAACTTGGGGAGACTTCACTTCTACAATAAATCAAAAAGTTAGTCAGGTATGGTGACACATGCCTGTAGTCCCAGCTACTTGGAAGGCTGAGGTGGAAGGACTGACTGAACCCAGCAGGTTGAGGTTGCGGTGGCCGTGAGCATGCCACTGCACTGCAGCCTGGGTGACAGAGTGAGATTCTGATTCACAAAAAAAGTTATTAGATGCTGGGCTCGGTGGCTCAGCCTGTAATCCCGCGCCTTGGGAGGCTGAGATGAGTGGATTGCCTGAGCCCGCGGGTTTGAGACCCGCCTGGGCAACTTGGCGACACCTCATCTCTACAATAAATAAAAAATCAACCGGGAGTGGTAGCGTGGGCATGTAATTCCGGCTACTCGGAAGGCTGAGGTGGAAGGATCGCTGGAGCCCAGCAGGTCGAGGCTGCGGTGGTCGGGAGCGGCCACTGCACTCCAGTCTGGGTGACAGTGAGACTCCAACTAAAAAAAAAAAAAAAAGTTATTAGAAAGAGACATGCCCAACAGGCACGGGCACTGTAAGAGAAAGGATACACACCAGCCTTTGACAAGAGGCTTTAAATACTTTTTTTTTTTTTTTTGAGTTGGAGTCTCATTCTGTCGCCCAGACTGGAGTGTAGTGGCCGCTCCCGGCCACCGCAGCCTCGACCTGCTGGGCTCCGGCGATCCTTCCGCCTCAGCCTTCCGTGTAGCCGGAATTACAGGCATGCGCTACCATGCCCTACTGATTTTTTGATTTATTGTAGAGATGAGGTCTTGCTGCCCGGGTGGGTCTCGAACCCGCGGGCTCAGGCAATCCACTCAGCCTCCCAAAGGCGCGGGATTACAGCCGAGCCCAGCTTTTAAATACTTTTACAACCACAATTAAGCAGACCATGAGCGAAGAGCCAAGGGCTGCAAGTGTCTGGTTACAAGTTTTGATGAGCATCTTTCCACCTTCTAAAGTCACAAAGACCTTCTAAATAATTAAATTTACTGCCTAACTAGATTTGGGCTTTTCTTTGAACATCATGTCTGTGTTTTGGGTAACTCCCTATTGTTTCTGTGATTTCCT